TTGATAGCTTATAAATTACTCCTATTTTTTCATGTCTTACACTGACCAATGTCTCCCTTCACCCACTTTTCTGCTGTCCGCCCCCTGGGAAGGGGTTATATGTAGATCCTTGTGATCGGTTCCCTCTCTCCCCTGACCTTCCGCTACTCTCAATATCGGTCCTGAGGGGTGTTTGGGCTCTTGACTGCTCTTCCATAGTAGTGGATTGTGGATCCAAGTAAAATGCTACCCTTGGCAACAATATCTCTGTGGACCATCATGCGACGTAGGATAAGTCTTATATAAGTCCATGTCAGATTGACATTGGTGGAGTTGTGAGGATTTTTGTTTCCGTGACCTTGAAGTGTAATCCACAAGAGAGACTATATAGCCTTTGATCTTCACTGATGAGCACTTCCGCTGCTCTTCCCTTTCAGCAAGCAAGGTTTCTTCACCTTCAGTTAGCAGTTGTTGCCAAGCCTTCCTCCCATCCTGACGCCAACTCCTTCTTCACATAATACAGCTTCTCGGATGATTTCCTCAGAAACGAGACTGAGTCAATATGGTGAGAGGATACAACCCCAATACCTACCTCTCCTGATTTTAAACCATATAGGATTCCCTTATCCTGTTTGCGCACCTGTCTCCAGGGACTGGTCTCTCCTGGGGACATGCCAAAGAATGTGAAGGAAGGCTTCCATTCTTTCTACCCTGGAGCATGCTGGCAGTATTGCTTCCTAGTGGATGGGGCAACTAGGATTCCTTGGTCTAGGTACAGGTTCTGCATGAGCACAATGAAGAGTTCTGGAATTCCCATTCCTTACAACGTCCCCATCGTTTGTTATGTCCACCATCAAACACACACATCTTGCTGGTATTCTCTGATTTCAGCCCAGATCCATCTGACATCAGCCACGAGATCCCTCCTTCCACACCCCCTTCTGAATCCTGCTTACTGTCTGGAAGTTGATGTACTGCGGCAACCATTTTTGAAATTTCTTCAGCAAAGTTTGACTTGCATGGGATAGTGGTGATATTGTTCCATGAAGTCTGCCCTCTGTTGGATGACCTTTCTTTGGAAGAGGAGCGAATATAGCTCTCTTCCGGGTGGCTGGCGTAGACCAGTGAGCACTGGCAGAGCCCATCTGTGGGTTGAAATCTCTCAACTGACCACTATCCACTAAGTCCCAGAGCTGGTGGTTCACCACGGACTTCAGCATAGCTTGCACTTCTTCCGCCAGCACCATTGGTTCTTGGTCGCAGGCTCTTCCCGAAATGGTTGAGCATCAATCAATTCCTTTTAGTCCAGTGACTCTGTATTCCTCCATCGCCTTTTGGTGCTTCCGAGCCATTCCATCTTGTGGCCATAGAATCCTTCAATATTCCAACTCGAGTCTTGAGGTTTTTCTTGCATCTTGGGAAAAAAATGCCAAGCATGAGTTCTCTTCATGTTGAACGCATGGTCGCTCAGTATAATAGTTTGCTTTGTCTCCTCGAGCCATCCTTCGAAACATTCTGCCCAACATCTACTTCATCACGTCTTCCACTTGCTGGAGCAACTCCAAGCTCAAGAGCGAGTTTTAGAGCCTCTTCATCATCCATTTTGTGCATTTCTTTCTTCCTTGTGTTTTGATGATGTTTGCTTTCTTTGTCAAATGGTTATTTTGATGTCCCACAATTTGTTAATATTTGCCAGTGCTGTGTCTAATACAGTGGCCTTCAGTCCTTTGTACTCCATGCATCAAATTTATTCTAGAGATGGTCTCTAAATTCAAGTGGGATGTATCAAGTTCACACTTTGGTGTACTATGAAGCTACAGTGGTCAAGACTGACTGAAAGATGGGCATATAGATCCACGAAACATTTGGAGCATCCATAAATAAACCTTATTATTTCTAGTCAATTGATCTCTGATGAAAGTGCCAGGTCCACTCAGCACAGAGAGACCCGTCTTTTCAACAAAGAGTGTGGGGACAGCTGGCTCTCTACCATGCAAACAGTGAGGCTGGATCCTACCTCACACATTATACAAAGAGGAACTCAAAATGGATCCAAGGCCTAAAGTAAGAGCTGAAATGATAAACCACTTAGAAGAAAGTGTGTAGAAATTGTCATGATCTTGGATTAAAGCAATCGTTTCCTAGACATGACACCCAAAGCACCATTTATGAAGGAAAACAGGGTGATATCTTAGACATCATTAAAATGTGAAAGCTTTGTGCTTCAAGACACCAGCAAGAAAATAAAAAGATCACTAGTTGCTAATTCTCTATCTGATATAAGGCCTTAAGAAGTTTGTGGGAAAATGGTATTAAAAGATCATGGATTTTTCCCCCCCACAAACTTTCTAAAACTTAATATATATATCCTCTTACAACTCAATAGTAAGAAGAAGAACACCCTAATTAATAACTAGGACTATGATTTGAATACGCACTTCGCCAAGGAAGATCAACAAATGGCTAATAAGCACGTGGGAGATGCTCAGTGCGACTAGTCATTAGAAAACTTGAGTCATTAAAACTTTTAGAATTGTTTAATGACTGGTTACAATGAGCATCTTTTCATGTGCTTATTAGCCATTTGTCTATCTTCATTGGTGAAATGTCTGCTCAAATTATAGTCCTAGTTCTTAACTAGGTTATTAGAGAAATGAAAATTCAGGCCACAGTGAGATTCCACATCACACCCAGTAGGTGGGGCTGGGACAGACCAGGACCAATGTTGAGAGAGGGTGTGGAGACACTGAGACCCCCCAGGCATCGCTGGGGGGGTGGGGAGTAGGGGGTGCAGATATTTGCCTTAAGGTTTGGCAGTTTTATCAAAAAACTGCACATAGTAGGCAGCTTCAAAGAGTCTGTGAGAATAAAAAGATAATGGTGCTTTCCCACAAAGCTCCTGAAGCCCCTCCATGCACCCCAGCAATCCCGTTCCTCGGTACCAATCCAAGAGCACCTATCCACACAGGAAGATGTGCTCATGAAGGCCCATAGCAGCTTGTTCTGTGTCATCGCCCTGAAGCGGACGGAGCCCGGTGTCCCATCGATGGACAAATGAGCAGCTGACGTCTGTGCTGCCCACATCAGGGAGTCCTGCTTAGCCTTAACACTGGGCGGAGCACCCACACTTGGGACAGCCTGATGCCACGCAATATCGAGATGAAATGAGCCAGAGACAAAAGGCCCCGGGCTGCAAGGATCCCGCGGACAGAGGCTCAGAGTAGACAGACGCGCACAGAGCGGAGGAAGTAGAGAAGTTGGTTGGGGCAGGGTGGGTGGAGGTCAGATGAGCAAGAGGGATCTTTGGGGGATGATGGGAACAGTCTAGAACTCCATGTGGAGGTGAGCACTCAATCCTATAAAACTATTTAAAATCATTGACTTGTTCTATGAAGAAATGGTGGATTTCATGGTAAGTCACCCCTCTGTAAGAAGCCCGGGGTGGTGTCAACAGTGCAGACACTGGACTGCCCACCAAAAGGGTGGAGGTTGGAGTCCACCCAGAGGCCCCTCAGAAGAAAGACCTGGAGGTCAACTGCTGAGAAACCAGCCTTTGAAAATCTCACCGCCCTTCTCACGCCCACGGGGCTGCTCAGAGTCGGAATCAACTTAATGGCAGCTGGTTATAGACCTCAGTGACCCACCCACTGCCACCAGGGGGGTATCTGAGGCTGCAAATCTTTACAGGAGCAGATAAGCCTCAGCTTTCAATCTCCAAGCGGCTGGTAGGTTTGAACTGTCGACCTTGTGGTTCGAGGTCCGATGCTTCCCTGACAGCACGAACCTCCCTAAAAACCAGACTGAACCTCTACTACTGAATCCATCCCAACTCATCGCAACCCTCTAGGACAGGGTAGAACTGCCTCTGTGGATTTGAGACTAACTCTGTACAGGAGTAGAAAGCCTCATCTGTCTTCTGCCGGGTGGCTGGTGGTCTCAAACCGCAGACCTTGTGGTTAGTAGCCCAATGTGTAACCCACTCTGCCACTAGGGCACCTCTTAAAAAACCAAACACACTGCCATCAAGTTAATTCTGAGTCACACCTCAATAAAGTCACTGCCCTTTTCAAAGTCTCGGGTTCCTTGAAGGAGGTCACTTCCATCAGGAGCTCCTCTGAGCTCTGAGGCCCAGGATGAATCCCTGAATTTCTCTCTGCCTTTGTTTATGTTAAATGGGGTCTTAGGAGCCCTGGCGGCATAGTGGATTCCATGCTGGGCTGCTAACCAGATAGTCGGCGGTTTGAAACCGCCAGCCCCTCCGAGGGAAAGATGAGACTTTCTACTCCCATAAAAGTTACGGCCTCAGAACCTCACTGGGGCAAGTCCACCCTGTCCTCTGGTGTGGTGATGAGTCGGCGTGGACTCGGTGGCCGTGAGTTTGAATTTGGAAGACAGTAGCAGAGCCCCCTTCAGGCGCAGGAGGAAGTGCGCAGGAAGCCCTCAGTGGGAAGCCCTAAGTGCTGTCCTTACAAGCACTGCCGCCATTGGGCCAATTCCAACTCACAGGGCCCCGTGGGACAGCTAGAACTGCCCCTGTGGCTTTTCCGAGGAAGCAGATGGCCTTGTGTCTGAGAAGCGGCTGTGTGGGTTCAAACCGGCTGACCACCCGTTAGCAGGCCAGCACTTAACCCCTGCACCACTGGGCCTCCTTGTGATCATTTACAACACCACCCTCTTAATGGGTCTGCCAGATGGCTGCTCTTGGGGCTGACAGGTGGTATCCAAGAGCTAGCGGGGAGAAGTCTGCCAGTGAGGCAAATCCAGACAGACCAGGGCCAGTCAATCCCAGAGCTAAAAGAAAATAACTTAACAACCTTGACCTAGATTTAGTCTGAGGCCTGTTTACACAGAAGGTGACATTTGCCAGCTGCTTTGAGCTCAGCCTGGGTTCTGCTTCCAGCAGCCTCTCGAAGAGCCCTCGGGGGCTGCTGGCCTCCCCCACCTGGCCCTTGTTGGGCACAGGGTCCCTGAGGGCGGCTCTCCAGATCTCTCTGTCTCACCAAGCCCTCTTTGTCTTGCAGCTTGAGAACCCCTCGCGACGGGAAGGCCTTCCGGATCTTTGCGGTCAGGCAGTAGACCGCCAGCGCCAGGGGACCAGGATACCTTCCGGAGGGCTTCGGGGTTTTGCTTTCTATGTTGTCACTTGGGGGTGGGGGGTGGGGCGGAGAGCAGGGAAACTCCCTTCGTGTCATGCGGGCACGCCTCTGTGTGGCCTCTGGAGGGGCGGTGCCTCGCCCCGTGGAACGAGCATCCTGGGGGACCAGTGGAACATCTGGGGACGAGTCCTGCTGAGGTCCGGTCTTCCCCACCTTCTGGATGCCCAGTCTCTTCCAGGAGCAGTCACCCGAGGCGGCCCTTCCCTCTTGTCATTCTTTGGTGGGCTGGGAGGGGAGAGTCCAAACTGGCCCAGAGGACCAAAGGGTTTTGGGGGCCCCAACGTTTGAGGGCCTTTCCGGGGTGCATGGTGGGAATTTGGGGAGCAATCAGGAAGGTGGTTGAAAACAACAGAACTGTCCGTCCCTACCCCTGAAGTCAAACAGGGCAGGTTTCCTGTTTGCTGGTCAGACCCAGGGCAGGATCGGGAGGACGGGGCAACGAGAACTGGCTGGAAGCCTGCAGGTCAGCGAGCCAGTCAGCAGTGTTGGTTCAGGCTCGGCAGGACCTCAGAGGATTTATCTCATCCTTGCCGGCCCCAATGTGCTTGAAGGCCCCACTTGAGCTGCCGTGACCTTTGGTCCCATGGAGGGCCAAGGAACTAGGACCCTTCCTTACCCTTTCCCTATTGTGGCTCACACCCCACCCCACAGATTTGCGGGAGCGCATGTGTGTGTCCTCTTTCCCACAAAGACCTGGCTTTGTGACTGACACCTTCTAAAGCCTCCTTTGCCTCTGGTGTAGTGGTGACACGTTGGGGTGCATCTCTACTTCCCCAAAGAGTTACAGTCTTGGAAACTCATGTTTGAGGGCCTTCCCCGGGTATGTGGTGGGAATTCGGGGAGCAATCAGGAAGGTGGTTCAAAGCAACAGCACTGTCCGTCTACCCCATCCTTTGGGGGTTCTACCCCCATCCTTTGGGCTGGCATCGACTCGGTGGAGGGAGCTTGAAGAGTCACTGTGAGTGAGTCAGAGCCAGCGGGAGGGCAGTGAGTCTGGAGTTCTTGAGTGGTCTGCTGGGGCCTTGGAGAGTGGCCGGTGCTTTCTTGCTGTCTCTCGTACGTGACAGTGAGCCATGCCAGCTGTCCCTGTGGGCAGCAGCGCGACCTGGATCTGGGCAGTGGGAGCAGTGGGCTCCCTGGAGCCTTCCTCGGCGAGGTTAGCGGCTCCGGGAGGAGGAGCAGCTGTGGTTATGGAGGTATCCACAGCCACGGGAGCGACCAGCACGCCCCTCGGACGCCTCTTCCTGTTTCTGTGGGGCAGCTGTGGCCAAGTGGTCCTACCCCCCGGGGAGTGGGCCGCAGGCTGGCTCCCGACACCTTACACACGTCCTCGCTGGCTCAGACGGAAAGCCCACAGAGAAATGAAGTACTCTTTTGTCAGCAGTATGCCCAGGCAGAGGGTAATTCCACCAGGCTGGCCCCTCTGTCACTTTGGGGTTTTCTTTCCCATCCACATAGTTCTAACGCCGGGGGTCTGGCAGAAAGCCAGACTCCACTGGTCCGGATGAGGCCCTGTGCCTGGGGTTGGGATCCAGGTCAGGGTGGGGGCTCAGGCAAGGGCTCATTCACCGTGTTCCTATGAAGACAGACTCTGGAGGCAAATGGCTTTTCTGTGCGTGTGTGACGCACCGAGATTCTTTGCTTCAAAGAAGCTAAAACCAGCAGGTCCATGTTTTGCTCTGTCTAGTTCACATAAAATGGAAACATCAAGGGGCAGGGACGTGGGGGCTTGGCAGGTGCTGCCCTGGTGCCCCGGAGCCTGGGGCGGACAACAGCTTCTGGAAGTCAGGTGCCGTGCTGCGGACCTGCTGCGTCCTCACGTGTGAATTGTGGCTGAATTGAGCTAACAGAGTAAATCGGATTCCCCAGCTGGGAGTTGTAGAATTAGTGATCAGCTCCCAGGGGGCAAAGCTTTCCGTGGAAGGCACTGCACCAGAGGAAGATCTGGAAGTTACCACAGTAAGCTTACCCCCTCCCCACGCCCATGATTTGCACATAAAGCTCCCAATCCCAGTTGCCAGGGCCTCCCCGGGACCTCTTGGTCCCAGAGCAGAACTGTGCTCCACTGCGATTTCCCGGGTAGTTTTTTCCAAAGTTGATTGCCAGGGCTTTTTCTTCTGAGGTGTCTCGGGGAGGGCTGACCCCCCACCCCCAGCCTTCGGTATGTCAGCCATTGGCCCCCTAGAGCCTCCCCAGGTTCCCCAGTGCATCCTGAGCCTGCCCCACCGGCTACGGTCAGGCCTCAGCCAGAACAGGGGCCTTGTTGCTTTGCAACGAGGCACGCTTTCCTTCCTGTGAGCCGACCCTTAAAACAGACACAGGATGCAAACGATAAATCAGGCCCTCGGCATGGGGAGCACCCAGCTGCTTTGCGCTGGGCAGGTCCGTCGCATGACCAGCAGGTCATGGCATTACTGGGGTGGTTCACCAAGCAACGGGACCCTGGGTCTCCTACCCCCCCACCCC